TCAAACATCCACACGTTCACACATGCATACATTCACACATTCACACTGTCACACATCCACACATTTACACATACACGCATACACATATTCATGCATTCACGCAGTCACACATTCACACATTCACACATTCATACATTCACACATCTACACATTCACACGTTCACACATTCACACATTCAAACATCCGCACGTGCACACATACACACATTCACACATTCACTCATTTACACATTCACACATTCACACATTCACGCATTCACACATTCAAAACATTCACACATTCACACATTCACACATTCACGCATTCACACAGTCACACAGTCACACATTCACACATTCACACATACACACATTCACACTTTTACGCATTCACACATTCACACATCCACACATTCACACATTCACGCATTCACACATCCACACATTCACACATTCACACATTCACACATTCACACATTCACACATTTACACATTCACACATTCACACATCCACACATTCACGTATTCACGCATTGACACGTTCACACATCCACACATCCACACATTCACACATTGACACGTTCACACATTCACACATTCACGCATTCACACATACACACATTCACACATTCACGCACACACACACGCACACATTTAAACATTCACACATTCATTCCTTCACGCAATCGCACATTTACACATTCACGCATACACGCATTCACACATTGACACATTCACACATTCGCACATTCATTCATTCACACATACACATATTCACGCATTCACGCACTCAAACATCCACACGTTCACACATGCATACATTCACACATTCACACTGTCACACATCCACACATTTACACATACACGCATACACATATTCATGCATTCACGCAGTCACACATTCACACATTCACACATTCATACATTCACACATCTACACATTCACACGTTCACACATTCACACATTCAAACATCCGCACGTGCACACATACACACATTCACACATTCACTCATTTACACATTCACACATTCACACATTCACGCATTCACACATTCAAAACATTCACACATTCACACATTCACACATTCACGCATTCACACAGTCACACAGTCACACATTCACACATTCACACATACACACATTCACACTTTTACGCATTCACACATTCACACATCCACACATTCACACATTCACGCATTCACACATCCACACATTCACACATTCACACATTCACACATTCACACATTCACACATTTACACATTCACACATTCACACATCCACACATTCACGTATTCACGCATTGACACGTTCACACATCCACACATCCACACATTCACACATTGACACGTTCACACATTCACACATTCACGCATTCACACATACACACATTCACACATTCACGCACACACACACGCACACATTTAAACATTCACACATTCATTCCTTCACGCAATCGCACATTTACACATTCACGCATACACGCATTCACACATTGACACATTCACACATTCGCACATTCATTCATTCACACGTACATATTCACACATTCACACAGACACAAACGCACACGCACGCGCACACGCACACGCACACACGCACACGCACACACGCACACGCACATATGTATATGTAAATGTGTGTATATATATATATATATATAAGACGCACACATATATGAGGGATCCCGGCCCTGGGGCCCTGGGCCGGCCCCTCCCCAGTACATCATCATCATCATCATCATCATCATCATCATCATCATCATCATCATCATCATCATCATCATCATCATCATCATATTCATCATCATCATCATCATCATCATCATCATCATCATCATCATCATCGTTATTGAAGGCCCCCGAGGCTCCCGGATGGCCCGAGAGCGCTCCGAGAGCGCCCAGGATAGCTTCCAGACCGCCCCAAGAGGCCTCCAAGACGCGCCGACAGGCCCAAGAGCGCTGGCGACGCTGCGTGAGCGCGCGACAGAACTCATGCCGCCGTGGCCAGGGGCTGTGGAGCCCGTTGTCCGCCCCTCACCCCCCCCCCCTGGCGCGCGGTGGCGCGGGGTGTCCTGTCGGTGGCGCGTCGGTGTCCCGTCGGTGGCGCGGGTTGCCCCGTCGGTGGCGCGGGGTGTCCCGACGGTAGCTCCGGGTGTCCCGCCGTGTCGTCTCCATGGCAGCTCAGGAGATCGGTTGTGAGATCGACAGTGGTATCGATCTTGAGATCGATTGCGTGCTCGATCGTGATAGTAAGATCGATCCCGGGTTGCTCCGTACCCCGTCGGTGGCGCGGTGTGCCCTGTCGGTGGCGCGGGGTGTCCCGACGGTGGCTCTGGGTGTCCCTCCGTGGTTTCTCGATGGTGGCTTGTTAGATCAATTGTGGGATCGATCGTGAGATCGATGGTGAGATCTATTGCGCGATCGATCGCGCTCGTGAGATCGATCGTGAGATCGAGAGATCGTTCGTGAGATCGATAGTGAAGTCGATAGTGAGATCGATCATGGCTGGTGGTGCCCCGCTGGGGCTAGGGGTGTCCCATCGTGGTGCCCCGTTGGTATTTTGTGAGGTCTCTTGTGAGGTCGATTGTGAGATCGATCGTGAGATCGATCGTGCGATTGGTATCGAGAGCGAAAATGAAATCGATGGTGAGCGAGACCGATTGTGAAATTCGAGAGATCAATGGTGCCATCTCGTCGCCATCACAGTCATCGCAGTTGTTGTCGGTGGGTTTTTTCTTTCCCCCCTCCCCCCAACCTCTTATCACCCGAAGGGTGGTCGTATGGGTATGCGAGGCCGCGACGAGGCGGCGACGGGGCGGTGACGCCGATAACATAACTGCCACTGCCACACCGACAATCAGGCCCAGACGACGCGGCGGCGACGGCGGCAACATAGCTGCCAGACCGACAACCAGGCCCAGACGACGGGTGACAACGAGGTGGCGACGGCGACAACATAGCTATCATATAGAATCAGCAACCCCTAAATGCGACCACTTTTGTTGGAATATGTGACACCTCCCTCCTCGTCTTCCTTTTTCCTTTGTGATGTCCGCTCTCTCGCGGTCTATCTTTCTCTCTAGCCCCCTTAGGTCTCGGCCTTTGTCGCCGTGTCTGCGTCCGTGACTTCCTATGTGTATCCGTTTTTGTCACTCCCTCTCTCTTTTTCACTCTCTGGCTGTTTCCGTCTTTCTCTCGTTCTCTCTTCGTCGTTTTTTTTGTTTTTTTCCCAACCCTCCTGTGTTGGGTTCTCGTTTTGAATAGAGCATGGTGGTCTCCACTCCTCCCGCTCCCTCTCCTCCTCTCTTCGTTCCTGCTCTCCTCCGATCTGTGAAACTGTCGCCACTTTCGAGGGCTGCTGGTGGGTGACTCAGATTAGACCTCGCCATCTCTGGGGGGGGGGCTGCGATCTGTGAAACTGTCACCACTTTCGAGGGCTGCTGGTGGGTCCAGCGGAGTGAGGCACCACGGGGACTCAGATTAGACCTCGCCATCCCTGGGGGGCTGCGATCTGTGAAACTGTCGCCACTTTCGAGGGCTGCTGGTGGGTCCAGCGGAGTGAGGCACCACGGGGACTCAGATTAGACCTCGCCATCTCTGGGGGGCTGCGATCTGTGAAACTGTCGCCACTTTCGAGGGTTGCTGGTGGGTCCAGCGGAGTGAGGCACCACGGGGAGTCAGATTAGACCTCGCCATCCCTGGGGGGGGGCTGCGATCTGTGAAACTCTTGCCACTTTCGAGGGCTGCTGGTGGGTCCAGCGGAGTGAGGCACCACGGGGACTCAGATTAGACCTCGCCATCTGTGGGGGGCTGCGATCTGTGAAACCTTCGCCGCTTTCGAGGGCCGCTGGTGGGTCCAGCGGAGTGAGGCACCACGGGGACTCAGATTAGACCTCGCCATCTCTGGGGGGTTGCGATCTGTGAAACTGTCGCCACTTTCGAGGCTGCTGGTGGGTCCAGCGGAGTGAGGCACCACGGGGACTCAGATTAGACCTCGCCGCCCCTGGGCGGCTGCGATCTGTGAAACTGTCGCCACTTTCGAGGGCTGCTGGTGGGTGGCCAGCGGAGTGAGGCACCACGGGGATTCAGATTCCTGACCACGAGCAATGCTCGCGTGCCCTTGCTCTGCGGTTCGTGCCATCGCTACCGTCCTTCGAGGTTGCCCATCGGGCCCTCTAACAAATATATTCACGCATACTGTCGGCCTGCAGCGCCGTACTGGTGGCTGAACAAAGGCGCCTGCTCCGCGGTCTTAGCAGCGCGCGGGGCCGAGGCGTAATTGCCGACGCGCGCAAGCATGCGCATTCGCTAACCGCGCTTCCAAGTTGCCTGTCAGGCGCTCTATAACCACAGCCACCGCGGCATCGCGGAATTGGATTTCTGCTGAAAGAGTTCGAGCTACGCTTCGCTCGTTCCTTGCACTCTAAACAAGTTTTGTCATATGGAACTGTGCGACGACATGGCGCAGGCAGCGCTGCGGGTTTAGCTCGCACTTGAAAAACGCGGCAGTCTTCTGTCTCCTCCCGCCACTTTCATCGTCGTCCTATTCCCCGCCTCGCCTTCTCCATGCATGCTGCTGCTTCCGCGATGGCCTTTCGCCCCCCCCGCCCTCCATTCCATCCCTCTCCTACCCCTCGTTCCCGTACCCGTTCTTCTTCGATCCTGGGGCCTCAATCCTCGTTCTTTCGGTCGTCGTCCTGTGAATCGTGCAACGCATGCGCATCCCATGTAGCTTGCGCAGCAAATCGCCGCGTCTACACTGTCGTTGTTCCTGCTAATGTTGGCATGGCCCCCTTGCCGTTTGATGCACGTGGGTTGGGTACGTCGCAGGGTAATTATTTCTCTCCGTCTCTCTCTCTCGCTCTCTCTCTTTCTCCCCCTATCTATATGCACATCTACATGTTTAGGTGCGCGTGCATATACACATATTTCTCCCCCAACCTTCCTTTTCCGCACAACTTTGCTCAAGCAGCCTTGTCGCGAAAATCTCGGGCGGGCGGGCGGGGTGCCAGGAGGTGTGCAATTGGCGAGCAAGGAAAAGCATTCGCCATCGCCTTCGAG